TGGAGGAGGTGGGAGTGGCAGGGTGGGATGGAATAGGTGGATGTCCACTCTTTACCTTTCAGTTATTATTTGACCTTGAAAACAGACTGCCATAGCTCAAGCTGGGCCTTGGCCAAGGGCAACATGGCCAGGTTCCCAGGGGCAGCAACAACAGGAAGTTGGGACTGGCCAGACACCCCACCCCCAGCAGCCTCCTCTCCTGGAAGGCATCTTCCTCCTAGGAGCCTGAATAACACTCCCAAGAGGACAATTAGGTGCCTCTTTTCCCACCCTAGGTCTCACTCATCTTAAGACTTAAAAGTTTCTCTAAATTTTTCCTTTTCTCTTTTATTTTTTGCTAAGGAAGTTCTTTCCCACTGGGCTACACACATTTCCAGCCCAAAAGGTAACTTTCATTCTTGCTTTTTTTTTTCCCCCCAGAACTGGGGATTGAATCTAATCTAGGGGTGCTCTAACAGTGAGTTGCATCCCTAGCCCTTTTTGTTTTTGATTTTCAGACAGGGTCTTGCTAAACCACCTAGGGCATTGCTAAATTGCTGAGGCTGGCTTTGAACCTTTAGCCCTCCTGTCTCAGCTTCCCCAGCTTCTGGGATTACAGGTGTGCGCCACTGCGCCTAGCCCTCTTTTATTTTTTGAGAGTGTCTTGCTGAGCTGTGGAGGCTGGCCTGCAGCTTGTGATCTTCCTGCTTTAGCCTCCTGAGTAGCTGGGATTACAGGCGTGCACTGCTGCACCCTCTTCTAATTTTCTTAACTTGCTTTCCCTTGCTCTGGGCTCAGTCAAGCTGAAGGACTACAAAATACCCTATGATAGCTGGGCACGGTGGCACACACCTGTAATACCAGCAGTTTGGGAGGCTCAGGCAGGAGGATCAGGAGTTCAATGCCAGCCTCAGCAACAGCAGTGCATTAGGCAACTTGGTGAGACCCTGTCTCTAAATAAAATACAAGAAAGGGCTGGAGACGTGGCTCAGTGCCTTAGGTGGAGGCAGTTTAACGAGGCGCTTAAGCAACTCAGGGAGACCCTGACTCTAAATAAAATACAAAAATTGGGCTGGGGATGTGACTCGGTGGTCAGTGCCCCTGAGTTCAGTCTCCTGTACAGAAAAACAAAAACGAAACCAAAAAACCATGATAACTTTCCCTACCCCCCAAATAGTCTGAGACTATTGGGGATACAGAGAAGGCAAAATATACTGAGTTTCAAAAAAGAAGTGCCTATCAACCGATGGAACACAAAACAAGCAACTCATGGGCAACCCAGCTCTTGTCCTGGCCTGCAAAAAATAGTGCGATGTGAGGGCAGTACACATACTCAAGGAAAACTGATTAGAATTTATCTAACCCTGAGGCTGGGGATGTGGCTAAAGTGGTAGTGTGAGGCACTGGGTTCAATTCTCGGCACCACATAAAAATAAAATATTGTGTCTACCTAAAAAACTAAAAACTAAAAATAAATATATAAAAAAAGAAATTATCTGGGCTTGGGATGAGGCTCAAGCGGTAGCGCGCTCGCCTGGCATGCCTGTGGCCCGGGTTCGATCCTCAGCACCACATACAAACAAAGATGTTGTGTCCGCCGATAACTAAAAAATAAATATTAAAAAAATTCTCTCTCTCTCTCTCCCTCTTTAAAAAAAAATACTCCTTAAAAAAAGAAAAAAAGAAATTATCTAACCCTATCCTGACTCCACCTCTATTCAGACCCTAGCTATTGTCCCTCTAATAAATATTAAAACCTCAGGCTAGCCAGACATGCTGGCATATGTCTAATCTCAAGGAGGTTGAGGCAGGAGGATCATAAATCCAAGGCCACTCTCAGCAATTTAGTGAGGCTCTAGCAACTAAGTGAGACCCTAAATAAAAAATAAAAAGAGCTGGGGATGTAGCTCAGTGGTTAAGTGCCCTTGGGTTCAATTCCTGGTACCAACAAACAAACAAATAAACAACAACAAAAACCCCCAAACATCAGCCTGGGAATGTAGTGCAGTGGTAGTAGAGTGCTTGCCTGGCATGCCTGAAGTTCTGAGCATAAGAAAAAAAATTATGTAAATAATAAAATCTCAGACTAGGTGTTGCTTTTCACTGTTGAGATGGCTTGCACTCTCCCTTGAGTATGTGCTTTTGCTTTCCTAAATATATCTTTGTGCCTCAATATCTGATGCATGATTATTACTATTTTTTATGGTGTGAGGATTGAAGCCAGGGCCTGGCACATCCTAGGCAAGTCTTCTACCACTGAGCTATACCCCCAGCTCAAAATGCTGAAATTCTTTTTTGTCAGATGCACAAAGGACCCTGTGCTCCTGAGTGCAGGGTTCCTTCTCTGTGACTTTCTCAGACCCTCCTCTGGTGACAAGCTCACTGCTGCCCTCTCAGGAGCAGTCCCTTCCCTTCCTGTCTCTCCTCAACCCTCTTCTACTATAAAAGACTATACCCTCAAGGTGGTTTTATCCTTTTTAAAGCCACAAACACTATTAGTAGTCCAGCACCTAAGGACCCCTTCTTAGGATGTCTATAAATGTCTAAAATACAAAAGAAAAAAAATGCTAAGACAACCAAATGTTATAATATGTGCTTCTTTATTAATTTATTAAATAATAAGATTTAGTGATAGTTCTAATTACTAACTTAATTTCAAAGTACTGATGAGTGTAAATTATTTTCAAGGTACCTGCAAATAACTATAGTATGGCTGGAAAATACTGCTAAGACTATCATGGATTGTTGCTGACATTTATAATCAGTTCTGGTTAGTAAAAATAAAAATGTACTCCTCCCCCTTCCAAATGAAGAAGACTTTTCTTTTAATTTTTGAAGATAGAGAGAAAATTCTATTACAAACGAAAGGAAGGAGGTTAGATAAACAATTTTAAAAAGATGGAAAACATGACCAGGAGACCTATCAGAATCATCTTGAAACTGGGCTGAGTGAGTTGCTTCTGGACTTAATGCATGTCTAAGACCTGAATGGGCAGGGCTGGAAGCAGGTTCTCTGCTCTCCTGGGAGTCCACATGCAAGAGGGAGCTACCATTCAGCTGGATCATCTCAAATCCCAAAGTACTGTTATGCCAGGCATTATCTCTCCCTCTCCTCTCCTGCCTGTTCTTGAATCTGGCACCTTCAATTCTTGGCATGGGCTTCCTCTCCCCACCCCTAAAACAGCTTCTGTGCCAGCTCTGTATTGGCTTTGGCCTGAGGAAGAGGTTCTCAGTGTGTGAAAGGTACAGAGCAGAGCAACCTATCTTAATGGGTCCTCTCACCCTGTAGTCTTAAAAGACGTTCCACCAGGGCAGAAATGAAGCAGAAATGAAGCTCAACCCAGAGCCTGGACTTCTTGAAATAAACTGAATAACATAAAAACAGTGCAGCGCAGATATAGGTTTCTAAATGCCTTCCTAGGGGTGGGGGCTGGAGACAAGGCCAGGATTTATAGAGGGAGGTGGCCTTTGTGCTCTTTGGGGGTCTTTCTCCTGACCACAGGGCTATCTGTGATGGGTGGGGGTTGTGTGTGTGTGTGTGTGTGTGTGTGGTACTGGTGACTGAACTTAGGGGCAACTATGACTGAGCTACAACCCCAGCCCCCCTCACCCCATTGCGACAGGGTTTCACTAAGTTGCTGAGGCTCAAAGGAGATCCTCCTGAGTAGCTGTGATTACAGTCACCCAGAGGGCCAGATTTGGGGATAGGGTATTTTATTTCCCCTGCAGGAGCAGAGTCCTGATCAGGAACAGTGATGTCCCTGCTCAGAGACATTCTGAGATCCAAAATGAGCCTAAGACCCTGTTTTAGGATGAAAGCTTCCAATGCGTTCATCACATCTCCCCAAGGGTGGGCAGCTACAAGCCCTGACCCAGGTATTCTACTTGCTTGGGTAGCTACCCTGCCAACTCTGCACACAGGCTGCAACTCAGCACTGTCAGTGGGAAATAAGACTTCAATTTCAGGGAATCCTACAGCTGCAGGAATCCCCGAAAGCTGACAGGCAACAGACCCCCTCCCCAGCACATAGAAGCTAGGGGCTGCACAACCTGGTGGCTTGAAAAGCTTCAACTACGTACTAAAACATTCCAAATACACAGTGTAAATAGCAGTCTTAAGAAGAAACACACTCCTCTCCCCCAATGCTGCAGTCCCAAAGCCCCACCTAGACAGAAATTCTGGAGCTTGCAGCATTTTGCAATTCAGAGCGGCACAGCTCAGGGTTGGATTTCCCAACCTGTAGAGGCCGCAAGCTGCGTCTCCGGGGCGGGCTATGCCAGTAAACCCCAGCAAGTCCCAGCCCGCTCAGAATTAACGGGTCTGACTGTGCCAGGAGAGAGGACCCATACACATCTCAGAGCCCCTCCCCGTTTAGGCACCTGCCCTCCAGAGCGGCGTGACCCACCCCCCTGTCCTGGTAGCTGGAATCCAGCAAAACTGGAGTTCCGGGAACCCCTAGGCATTAGTCTGCGACCCTTTAGCCCATGGTGGTGTAGAGGGAGGCCCTGCTTTGGGAGGAGGTGGAGGAAAGAAGAAATAAACACAGGGAGACTCTTCACAGGAGGGGGAGCCCCTGGTGGATGCCCGAGGGCCTGGAGCCCGGAAAGCGAGAATAGGGGTCTCTTCTGGAAGGGGTCTCAGGTGTGGCAATGGGGCCAGCGCCCTGCGCAGCGCGGAAGGCTCAGGCCCCGCACGCGGCACCCCACCCCCCCACACCAGCACTGGGTGGCCCAGAACCCACCTCCGTGGTCGCCGCCCTCTCACCTGAAACCACTAGCGCTTCGTTGGGCCCCACCGTGTGACAGTTGCCCATGGTGTCGGTGGGACGCAGTGGTTTCGGCCGCCCGGACCTGGACAGCAGCAACGGGTCCGCAGCGCCGGCCGCGCCCAGCCTATCCCGCCACCCCCAGCGGCTGCCCGCCTGCCCGCCCGCGCCCCTCTGTGGTCGCAGCCCCGCCGGAAGTGTGGCGGCGGAGGGCGGGGCCCGCTTGCTGAGAGAGGCAGGAGCCAGCCACGAGCCTTGGCAGTCAACTCGCTTTATTACAGGGGGCTCCAGATGGCGGGGCCCAGCCCCAAAGCACCCCGGAAGGCATCCCGCTTACTCCCTCGGGGGCACCTGGTTACGACTGCGCAGTCCTGGCCCACCTCCCTTCACGCACCTTACAGCAGTCGGCCCTGGTGTCAGACCCCTGGGTTCACCCGTTACTCCTTCTTACTAGCTGAGACCGTGAGTCCGTCCTTCGCTGGGGAACCTAATCCCGTTTCTGTAAAATGAAGGTAATTTAACTACCCAGCTAGATGGTTCAGTACTTCTCAGCTTTGGGCAGTGCATTAAATTACAAATTGCCTGGCCTGGCCCGAGAACTGATCAGAACCACTCAGGGTAGGGCCTGAGAAGCCGTTCCTGGCACATTACTTTCCACCCCTGAATTGGGGCTACGGTCCCTCTCAGGAAGAAGTATTCATCCATTATTTCCTTCTACCAGGAAAAGAGCTGTCCTGGATACACTTAGAGGCTCCAGAAAGTAACCATAAAGGTAAAAGTGGAAAACCCCTCAGTGCCCAGGGCATGGGCTGGCACACCGCTGAGGTTTTCAGCGTCAGGAAGTGCCATGGAAAGCATCCAAGTGTGGGGGTTAGGAGACTTGGGGTTCAGGCTCAGTTTTAACCTGAATTCGATGTGTAACCTTAGACAAGTCTGGTGAATTCCGAGGGCCAGGGAAAGGTTCAGAAACTGTGGGCTCCTCAGGGTGGGGAGTGTTTGGAGAACATGGGGCCCCTGGGTCCTCAGGTTGGAGCTCTTCATCAGGTTCATCATTCTCCCCAGGCCTAAGCCCTGCCAGCCTCACGCTGGCCTCCCACAGTCGCTGGGCTATCCGGTCATCTCGGGCAGCTGGGAGCACCTCCTCCACATGGCAGTTGGCAAAGTATCTTCCACTGAGGGGCTCGATGCCCTCTTGTAGAGCACAGTACAGGGGAGTCTGGGCACCTCCTTTGGGTGCCCGGAGTACCAGCCAAGCTAGTGGGCGCAAAAGTGGATGCAGCCATCCAGGAACATGGCGCAGGAATAGTTCTGAGTTCACAGGCCCTGTGAGTAGAAAGGAAGGATGATGTAAGAGCAGTTAAACAGAGCTAGAAGGGAACCGGGGACAGAATCCCATTTCAGGGAAAACAGGGTAGTACCTACCAGGCATTCAGGGGCCCCCAGGTGAGTCACTCAATTCCCAATAAGACACCTCCTTCTATTCATCCAAACTGCATATGCCCCTCTCCCAGATTTGGTCATGCTCTGTCTCCTGCCTCCCAGGCTCTCTCTCTTAATAGCTCAAGCCCCATTCCCTTGTTTAACCAGCATTTATTAAGTACCTATGGTATATCAGGCACTGTTTTGGACATTAAGGATATGAAGTTTGGGCATCAGAGATAGGAAGTTTAAAAGCTTAATAAAAGCTTAATGAAGGCTAGTTATGAATATGCTTATTATCACTATTATAACTACTAATATGCCTTAAGCAATGATTATCTAATATGCAGTCTGGCAGTATCAGTAGGACAGCTCTTACTATCCAGGTATAACCTAGTCTCTCTCTCTCTTTTGGCACCATGGATTGAACCCAGGGGTTCTTAACTACTGAGCCATATCCCCAGCCATGTCCCTCTTTTACATTTTATTTTGAGACATGTTCTTGCTAAGTTGCTGGGGCTGGCTTTCAACTCAGATCCTCCTGTCTCAGTTTCCCGAGTCAATTGGATTACAGGCGTGCATCACTATGCCCATATAACCTATTCTCTAAATCTATTGATCAATTAACTCATCTAGAGTAAAAGTTAAATTGCTAAGGCTGGCTTTGAACTTTCGATTCTCCTGCCTCAGCCTCCTGAGACACTGGGATTACAGGCATGCATCACCATGTCTGGCTTTCTTTTCTTTCTTCTTCTTTTTTTTTTTTTTTAAATTCTTTTTGTAGTACTGGGGATTGACCCCAGGGGTATTCTACCACTGAGCTATATCCCCAGCCATTTTTATTTTAAGGCAAGGTCCTGCTAAATTGCTGAGGCTGGCCTAAAACTTGCCAACATCCTCCTGCCTCAGCCTCCTCAGTCACTGGGTTTATAGGTGTGTCTCACTTCAAATGTCACATTGTCAGATGTCTTCATTGATTGCAATTGATAAAATAGGACCTTCTGGCATTCTATATTCCCCATACCCTTTTTTATTTTTCCCTATAGCTTTTTTCTTTTTTCTTCTAGACATCAACAGATTTATTTAGGAAAGCAGATAAACATTCTTCGGAGAAATATGGGCTTTCTCAAGAAAAGTAAGAAACACACATTCAGGGGAGAATGCAGCTATCCTGAGAGTGCGAAGGAAAATGTGGCCATATTGATGGTGAGAAGCTTTTGGGGTAAAGCAATGAATTCACATTGAAGGGACATGTGACCCTCTCCATGTGGAGAGATAGTTTTTTTAACCCTTGGTGTGGGGTGTTAATATTTACAGAGGGGTGGTTGCTGGGGGCTGGACTGTAGGTGCAGTCAGGGGAGTCATACAATTTTGAGCCAGCTTCTCCAGCATTTGATCTTTACCCCATGTCCTTTTTTGCAGGCAAGGTCAAGGGCAGGAGCCAAGGACATGGGGTGGGCTGCTTATTGTGTTGCAGGTCTGTGGGGAGAGGAAGATAGGAATTTTGGGATACAGAAAAGGAAAGATAGATTGAGTCCCTGTGTTCAATCCCCAGTATTAAAAATTAAATAATTAAAAAATTTGGGGCTGGGGCTGTAGCTCAGTGGCAGAGCACTTGCTTACCATGTGTGAGGCACTGAGTTCGATCCCTACCACATAAAAATAAATAAAATAAAAGCATGCTGTCTATCTACAACCACACACACACACACAAAATAAATTTAAAAATAAATTTAAATTTATTTTTAAAATTTTAAAAATTAAAAATAGAATGAATAGGATGAATTTATTTACAGTTATACTACTCCCTTTCCCTATAGTATTTTATCACCCACCTGCCATTGGTATGTGTCCCTACCACTGAGTTATACCCCAGCCCAATGTCTGTGTTTTGTTCACTGTTATATCCTCAGTGTCATGAATAATGCCTGATACGTAGCAGCAGGTACTTAGTAAATGCTCCTTGAATGAATGAGGAGGTTATTATTAGCTATCATAAGCATCACGTTATGCTCAGTTTAATCAGTATCAGTGCCCCGGTGGGGTAAGATCCCAGGTCTTATTCTTGTCACACGCTATCCAGCAGTCAGCGTCAGTGCTTGAGGCATGACAGGAAGAACCCACCTGGGGGAGAGCCTAGTTCCATGATTAGCAAGGAAGAGGTCTCCTCCTTGAACTATGCTTCTTTCCTGCTCTGAGATTCTGTGATTCAGTGGGAGGTTAGGGAAGTTCAGGATGGGGCCAATGAAGGGAGAAGGGGAAATAGCAAAGAGCCAGGCCTTACCTGGGTGGGCTGCATAGCAGGTGACACCAGTGCCCTCAAGCTGGGTGGCGAGCTCTCGGGCAAACAGTACGTTGGCCAGCTTACTGTCGGCATATGCCCGCAGCTCCTGCTGCCAGCCCACCACTGGGCGGTCCAGGCGTGTGAAGTCAAGGTGTCCACGCCGGTGGGCAGCTGAGGATACCACCACCACACGGCTAGGGGCGCATGTCTTCAGGCGAGGGAGCAGCAGATGTGTCAGCAGGAAGGGGCCAATGTGGTTCACCCGCAGCAACAAATTAAAGGTTTCTCGGGTTCGGCCACAGGAACTGATCCCTGGGGTAGGGGCTAGGTGTGAGTAGCTGCTCCAGAAGGAGCCTGGCAGGTCTCAGCATCCCAGTCTGTGAGATGGAAATAGGGGCAACCTTCCCATGTGTCTACTGGCCTCTGGCAGGGCCCAACTGGAGGGGGCAACTGCTCCTGGCCACCCCCCACCCCCCTACAGGGCCTGCAGCCCCTCACCGGCATTGTGGATGAGGATGTCCAGCCGTGGCTCAGACCTCAGGAAGGCAGTGGCAAAGGCCCGCACCGAGGCTAGACTGGCCAAGTCCAAGGCCATGAAGATAACCTCATTGTTCCCACTCTCCTGTGGAGTGGCAAGGGCTCAGATTGTCACCAGGCACTTCCCTCCTTTTCCCTTTCCCCAGGCACCTAATTCTAAGAGTCCATCTCCTGTTACTATTGAAATCTGCCCTTATGTATCACAGTGTAATGGAGCTGGGGATACAGCTCAGTTGGTAGAGTGTTTGCCTTGCATGCACAAGGCTCTGGGTTCAATCCCTAGCACCACAAAAAAAAAAAAAAAAAAAAAAATGGTAAAAGCAACTTGTATTAAAGTGTAATGGGTAATGGATTCAAATCCTGACTGCCTCTTACTAAAGTGTGACCTTTGGCAAGATACTTAAATCTTTCCGGGCCTCAGTTTTCTCACTTTAAAATGGGAATAATAATAATGATAATACCTATTCCATAGAATTGTTGTGAAGATTAAATAAGTTAACATTTGTAAAATACCCACAGTCAGTATTGTGTAGGTATTTGCTAGTATGTCCCCTTTCCCCATTATCACTTACCCTAAAATCTGTAACAGACTTTTCATTGGTTTTTTTATTACTCACTCTTGCACCTCACAGTCACAAAGGTTTCATTTCAAAAGGCCACTTTTCTATCAGAGCCTACTGAGATCTGTTTATTGATCTCAGCTGCCCATCCTAAAAGTTCAAACTCCTCAATGTAATGTGTAAGGGCTCTAGAAACTGGCCCTGGCTCAGAGCCCCTTCATGTTGCCTCTTCCTCAAAGGTTGTGCTTCAGCCTCATTAAATCTCTCTCTCTCCCTTTTTTTTTTCCAGTTTCTCAAATGATACTCTAGCTTCAGGGCCCAATTTGCATATGTGGTTCCCCTGCCATTCCCTTTCCTACTGCTCTTCATTAACCTAACTCCCACTGATCCTAAAACATCTTAGATGAGCAATTTCTTCCTTTACAGGAAGGCTCCCCAACAACTTAGTTGTGGTCTCCTTCCTTTTCTGACCAGAGCACTGCCCCCTCTTCCATACTTCATGAACTGAGCAGCTCTTTCAGGAACTGGATCCCTCGAGCCTGGTTCCCCGTCCCATCTGCTCCGGCTTTCCCTCACCTGACGGAGGTCGAAGGCGGCTGCCTCCCCGCGCTCCCGGCTGCGGCAGGCCAGCACCACGCGCGCTCCCCTGCGCGCCAGCTCCAGGGCCGTCATCTTCCCGATGCCGCTGTTGGATCCTGCAGGCGGCGGGCGGGAGCCAGCTGAGCCCCGCGGGCTGCTGCCCCGCAGCGGCGGCCTCCCACCACCCGCACGCCGCACTCATCCCGGCACTCACCCGTGACCACGGCGGTGCGGCCGCGCAGACTGCCGATGCCGCCGCACGGCGGGGCCTTCACTAGGTTATAGTAGATTAGCACATAGGCTCCCAGCACCAGCCCGGCGCCTAGCAGCAGTGCCTCCATTCCGACCGCGCGGCCGACTCCTGCCAGGCTCCGCTCCACCCCAAACGCTGCCCTGAAGCTGCGGCCTGGAAGGGCACAGCGCGCCTCAGCGGAGGCAGCTGGAGGCTGGGCAAGGGTGTGTGTGCGTGCGTGTGCGCGTGGCCCTGCGAGCGCCCCCTAGGCGTGCGTCTGCGTCCTTTGGCGGTGTGCCTTTGTGAACACCTTGGAGCTGCTTTCATACATCTGGGCCCGGGGAGCGCCCCCTAGGTGTGTGCCCGTTAGAGATATACAAGCATCTGCAACGTCTGTGGGTGTGTGAATGACTAATATGTGTGTATATGCCCAAGGGCCTTGGGGTCACCCTTCAGTTGTGTGGGTGCCTCTGGATCCTGTGAAATACTTCGTGGGCGTCTGTGCCCATTCAGGCAGAGTCCCTCCAGGCCTGTGCATGCATCTGCAATCTCCACCAACGCTGTTTAAATGAGCATCTGTTTACTCTAGGTGTGAATATGTAGCAGAGTCCCTCCCTTCTAGAGACATGAATGGGCTGTCTACACGCCTTTTCCTTCAATGAACAAATCATTCAATGTCTCATCCACACATTCAGCCTATCGGATTCTTCCCTATCCTTCCCACACAGCCCAGAAAGGGAACAGTACTCAAGGTGGCACTAGCAGTTGACTGCCAGGATTCACTCAATCATTTTTCTATATTCCCCTACCCCAAACCACTTCTGAAGGGAAGCAAAAAGATAGTAAAACATGTTACTGCTCTTCAGGAGATGTCTCTGGACTAGTTCTCACAGAGGGTAGAAACACTAAGACACTAAGGATGGTAAAGGTGGGCAGGGACATCTAGGCAGGTATGGGTAAGGGCACTCCTGGCCAGGTAATTTGGCAGGACCTTGTCTGAGAAAGCCATTATGATTTAGCACCTTATGTATACTTACAGTATACCAAAATCTCAGGGAGGGTCCCCTCTCAGGGAAATGACAGGCAGGAAACATAATTTGAAGTATTTTAAATACTGAGCAGAATATAAAGCTTCTGTCCTTAGAGTTCAAGAAGCCCATTGTAACAGGGGTGCAGTGGCAGAGCCAAAACAAATGGGAACAAGGACAGACTTGAGTCCAGAGATCTTCTGCACTTTGGACTCAGTACAATTACAGATGTTGTTTGTTCTCTAACCCCCAGGGGGGGAAAAACCCACTAATACACAGATAGGCACCACCTACTCAATCAGTGCTGGAATGACAGGTGTCCTTGAGGAGACTGTCCTCAGGAAGACCTTCCTGGGGAGTCTCTCACTAAGGTCTGGAGAAGGACAGAAAGATTTGCTTTCATGAGGGTGTCCCCAAGGCTTTAGAATTAAGATAATTAGCAGACTTGCCTTCTGATGGGAACAACAGTTGTCAAGTTGGGATCATATGCCACACAGAAGTGGCATAGCAGACTCTACAGACCAAATTCTATATTAGGGTTCTCCAAAGAAATGACACTCCCTTAGCAGATGCACTCCTACCCTTCCTTTGCCCTCCACCCCACTTAGGCTCATTCTTTTCCAATACCACCCCTCTCCCCTAGGCTTCTCTTGGGGGAGTATCTGAGGAAGAGACCTATTCTAAGGGTCCCCTATATATTGGGCCCAGATCTCAGGGAGGGTCCCCTCTGAGGGAGATGACAGGTAGGACAGACAGGCAGAAAACATAATTTGAAATATTTTTGTTTTTTTATATACAGAATACAGGAAAGTTTCTGTAAAGTCTAAAACATTACAATTACTATGTACATTGGTACTAGTTGTGGGGGTGGGAGGAGAGGAGGGAGCCAGGGGTGGGAGGAAAAGGAGAGAAGTGGCAAGAGAACAAAAAAAAGGAGACAAAACAGGTTTACGACAAAAACATTTTTGCTACAATAGACAATTTGAGAAAACGCTCTACCACATGTAGTACTGTACACAGTTTTTAAAAACATTGAAAAAATGTCATCACTAGATGTATTTACACAAAATCCAAATACACTTTTCCTTATTTGAAATAAAATAGATGGACAGCAAGAAAAAGAATTCATTTCTCATTTGTCCATAATACACAGTAGCTACCTGTAGTGCAACCGCTGCAGAAAGGGAAAATAACTTGGAGGGTGGGAACCATGGAAAGAGGGTGGGTAGCGATCTTTATATTAAATAAAACAATGATATTGTATAGATTTTGCTGTATGAAAACTGTATTTTTTCTTTTAATATAAAACTATTGTCACTGCCACAAAATAGAACAAGTTTCTGATTATTTTACAACGGCGGGCGAGGGGGAGGGAGCAGGAAGTGTGGGGGAAGGGTTTATATTGGAGGAAGTGTCCAGACCATGGATCTTCCCCTCCCTGCCCACGCTGTTCCTCAGCTCGGGTCTGCCGCTTTCCCATGAAATGTTGAGTACAAATATATGTGCAAATGCCCCCTAGAACTTGAGAAAAGAAAAAGGATTTTTAAAAAAGTCAAAAGGTTTTCTTCATTTCATGCAAAGATTGTAGTTGAAGGGTTTCTGGTAGAGTATAGAAAACACCCGGGCTTGGTTTGTGTACATTTTTGCATTGCAGGAGTCTTGGGTGGGTATATAGGCTGGTGGCAGGGTAGTCACCAGCCCTAGGGAACGGAGTTGGAGCGCAGCACAGGGCCCTGGTGGGGCTTGAGAGACAACTTCTCAGCCAAGACCCCATCCTGCAGCAGGCTGGCATCGCCTTTGGGCTGTTTGGTCGCAAACTCAGTGATGCTGAAGACAAACTGCAGGCAGCCCAGCTTGATGTAGCTGCCATGGTGCAGTAAGGCCGTGCCCTCCCAGCCGGCCCCACTGCCCCCAATCAAGCTTGAGCTGCTGGCTTTGCAATTGCAGGGTCTCCGCGGTGGCCCCTGGGCCTGGGAACTCATCATGGCTGCCTCTTCACTTGGCTCTTCATCCTGTTTCTGGTGGCGGCGGCGCCCTGGGAAAAAGGGGGATGGTCACAGGAGAGGTACACTGAACAGCTGTTCATCTGGGCTTTATGCCAGGATTGGGCCCCCACATCTCCCCATTCCAACTGCTACATGACTAGGGGTGAGGGATACTCAGAAAGGGCTGGAGAAGTCTGAAGTATCCAAAGAGGTCTGTATACACATGTGGGTGCTCAGCACTTGCTTCTCCGTGGCCTTCCCTGGGCCCACCAGCAAGGAGAGCTTGGCCACTAGGACTGGGAAGGCAAGAGACTGAAGGTCACTGGCAGCATGGCAGAACCACTGTGAATGGGGCCTTAGCTTTGTGGCCACAGGCCTCTGCTCCAACTTACTGATGACACTCTGCACTTTGGCAACAATACTGCTTGGGGGGGTTGGCGGGGTCTTCTCAGAGAAGTCACATGAATACAGCACATTGTCCACTGTTGTCCCATGCTCACTGTAGTTTAACAGCTCATAATGTTTGGTATTCTGAGGAGGAGGGAAGATAGATGTATGGTCAGCTGTGTGGGGCCTGTGACTAAGGGGAGAGAGAGAACATATATATGGAGGCCATACTGCTCTACTGAGCCTTCCTAGTGTCCCATACCCCCTTATTCTCCCACTATTCCTTTTCTCTGTCTCCTCAACACTGGCTCCTGTTGGTAAGATATTCATCATGATGATCTCATAGGGACACATTCACAGAGCTTGCCTTCCTTCTGTTAGTCCCTTCCCCTACACCTAAGAGTAACTTAGCAGAAATGATAACCCTGCTCCTGGAAGCTGGTAGCCATGGTAGGATGCTTTTTTACACCAAGATTTCTCCAGGAATGACAGGGAAGAAAAGGACTCCCAACCCTCTTCCCTTCTTCTCAGGGCATTGAACCAAAACCCAGTACCAGGGAAAGGCCTCAGGTTCCCTCCCACCCCATCGCCACCCCTCACCTCATCGTAGAATATGCAGGCATGTTTCCCGGACACATAGTTACAGTGACCATAGTTTGTAAGGCACACATCCATGTCAGCTCCTGCAAGGTGACAGAAGTAGAGGAAAAGGAAGGCAGAAAACAGATTATAAGGTGTATGTGTAGGGAATGTGGAAGAGGTGAGGGAGGGAGGGGGAGAGATTCACATTTTACAGGTAAGCTATGTCCCAGCTTCATTTATATATCTATTAATTCATATTTATTTATTTAGGGTACGAGGATTAAACCAGGGGCACTCAACCACTGAGCCATACCCCAAGCCCTATTTTATATTTTATTTAGAGACAGGATCTCACTGAGTTGCTTGGTGTCTCACATTTTTTTCCGAGGCTGCCTTTGAACTCATGATCTTCCTGCCTTAGCCTCCTGAGCTGCTGTGATTACAGGTATGTACTACAGCACCCAGCTCTTTTTATTTTTTGAGATGGGGTCTAAGTTGCTGAGACTGGCTTTGAACTCGTGATTTTCCTGCCTCAGCCTCTCAAGTCACTGGGATTACAGGTGTGTACCACTTTGTGTTTTTGGACAAAAGCTAATGTCTTTTCCAAACTCCTGCTCAACAATAACTGCTTAGGACTGAGACTACTCAGAACCTGAGTTACTAGAGGATGGGATACTTCCATGAAAACATAACATGGAGGTGCAGAGCCTTAAAATAATAATAATAATAATAATAATAATCATATCTCAGGAAATTTGTAGGCTGAGAGCGAATCTGTACTTCTGTACCAGATGCAAGGCTAACTGAAGACTTAGTGTGAGCCTATCATTTTTCAAAGACACCCAGGGACAGGCATTTGCCCTCTGCTTGCATCTTTCCTGGCAGAGTTTCAGATGACTGAGTAGTAGTCAGAGCTAATTCCCATCCCCGATAAGGCCACAATGGGGACAGACAAAGCAAAAGGGACAAACACAGAGAGAAGCACCTGATTATTTTGTTTCCTAAGTCACTCTTGTCTGGATATCCACTGGGTTACCCATCAACTCTGGAAAAAGGCTTCCATCATCCCTTTCTAGCTTGCTGGTAAGAGTGTTAGGACTGAATAGATCCAGTGCCTCTCCCGCTTCCAGGCTGGCTTACCTGTCCCGATGTAGAGGGTTCGATAGCACATATTCACAGCTCCTCCCAACCCTAAGAGGGGGTAGAACACAGCTCGGGCCTGTACTTCCTTTCTTTGCACTGCAAGACAAACAAGGATAGGGTCATTCAGAAACTCAGAACCTGTGACCCAAACATGAATAAAACCTGGACTTTTAGCTTGTGGCCTAGAGAAAGTCCCAGTGAATGATTCATGTTCCCAAACACATTGAACACTTAGGATAAAGTATTCCTTCCCAATTCACATCATTTCCAACATGGGATAAGGACCATCTTTGAAAATGGTCACAGAATTTGAGAATATTAGTACTATAAGCTTCTGGGCTGCTGGTTAGCTAATCAGGGACATTCCAGATTATATTAAAGGGAAAACAAGGAAAAATGGAAGCATAAACCAGTATTTCTCAAGCTTTAATGTGCATATGAATCACCTGTGGATTTTGTCCAAAAGTAGATTCTGGGTTAAGGGTACAGTTCAGTGGTAGAGTGCTGGCCTAGCGTTCAATCAGAGGAAGAGGGAGAGGGAGTGGAAGGGGAAGGAAGGAAGACAGGAAGGGTAAGTACATATTCTGACTCAGTAGATCTGGGATGTGGACCTTCAATTTGCCCTTTTTTTGGTTGTAATGCTGGGGATTGAACCCAAGGGCATTCTACCACTGAGCCACACTCCCCAGCCTTTCAAAAAATTAAAAAAAATTTCAGACAAGGTCTTGCTAAGTTTCTGAGGCTGGGCTGGGGTTATAGCTTAGTTGTAGAGCATACTGGGTGAGGCACTGGGTTTGATCCTCAGCACCACATTAAAAAGAAAAAAAAAATATATAAAAGTTTCCAAAGTTGGTCTAGAACTTGTGATCCTCCTGACTCAAGTGTCTTGAATTGCTGGGATTACAACTGTGCTTAGAATTTACAGTTTGTTTGTTTTTTTTAATTTTTTTTTTCCCCTTTTAGTTGTAGATATTTTTATGTGGTGCTGGGGCTCGAACCCAGTGCCTCATGCATGTTAGGCAAGCACTCTGCCACTGAGCCACAACCTCAGCCCCTACAATTTACAGTTTTATGGTCTCATGAGATGCTGATGCTGCTGGTCTGGGGACCACACTTTGTTTGAAGCAGCAAGGCACTAATGTTCAGAGATAACCAAGCAGAGTTATCACTTGAGAATTTCTAGGAGGCTTGCTCACTGTTATCCTATTTCTTACCTTGAACTCAAAAGTTCCCTCTTGGGAAACCTTTCTAACTCAAATATTAGGAAGCAACTGAACAGACAGAATACAACATATACCCCCTAAGAAGTGGTCTCTGTTTTGCTGTGTTTCAAAGTAGACTGGTACGAAAGAGTGACTTCCCTAAGTCTGACTTGGGTAAGTGACTCCCCCAAGCTGTGGTTGTCATCTCATTCCTGCTCTGAGAAAAAAACATACAGTGTTTTAACCAAAGGTACACAAGGAGATTTTGACTATCAAAAGCTGATTCTCTGGGGAGGCAAGATAGTTAATCATAAGATCTGATGGTGTGGTAGCAGGCATGTGCATGCACACCTTCTGTGTGGTGCCCTCCGGAAGTCAGCGGATGTGTCCCAACACTGCCCGGTGAAGCCTGGACCCGGGAGGGGAAAAGCTGATGTATTCTCTGCAAGGCCAGAAACTTGATCAGCTTCTCGTCCAGCATATTTATCTCGATTTCTATCAATCAAAGAGAAAGGTTAAAAAACAGCTGAGATGGAAATGTAATGTGGAAGTTGTAAAGGGTCATGCAAATAGTTCAACATTTCTGAAATCCAGATGAGTGATTTTTGCTCAAACAGAATAGAGTACAGAGTGGTACAAGGCTCCAGAGCTGGGCATCTCATTTGCCATTCACTGTGAGAGAGTGCCCCAGTGTAGCCTGTGAAGTTGCCTTCTATAGTAAGGTGGATTATTTCAAGCCAAGTGTCCTAAAAGGCCAGAGCAAAGCAGACTAATTTGCCTGTTTACGGGGAGGGTCTGGATATCTGATAGACTTGAATTTTCAACCCACCCTTTGTTCACAGAGATCAAGATTTGTCCCTGTTCTCCTTGACTTTAGAGTTTCCCACAGACGAGGCCCCTCCTCTGGGAGTGAGGCTCCCGGTTTTGTTCTACAAGTCCAGGTGATCTGCCTAAAGATCTTTTTCTTTCTCATCAATTAAGCATAGCTGTTTTCCCTTCATCTTGGATTATGTGTTATGTGCAAATATAGAACACAGAGACAGGAGATGAAGCCTTTTTTTCTTTCTTTCTTTTTTTTTTTTTCCAGTGCTGGGGATTGAACTTAGAGGCACTCAAGAAGCCTTCTTTTTTACCCTACTCCTCTACCCAAATGGTATTCGTCTTCCCCATGATCCTAGCTCTCTGAGATGTGTCAACTCTTCTTCTCCCTTTGAGATGAGCTAAATTTTGCCTGCAACTTTACCACAGCAGCTGGCTCACTCACCTCCATTGACATCCATAAATGCTCGAAGTGAGTTGGTGAGGTCCACCATGGCAGTAGAGTTGGCTGGGAAAGAGGGTACGGTTAAAGCGCTTCCTATGGATAACGTGCCGGGGCTGACCTTGCCATCTGGGGACGGAGCAGGAAGACTGTTACTTACGTCGCCTGAGGGAAACCCACCGGTCCAATCCCCCACAGCTGAGACAGGTCTGGATTTCGGACCCAAGGTGATGTTCCCTTCTTGATTCTCAACCCATAGGCTCTGGAACTCCTAGAGCTAAAAACGTGTGGTGAGGAAGGGCAGATGGAACGACAATGCACCCAGGCACGCAGGAGTTTCCAGAGCACTGATAACCATTGCAATCCACTGCTCTGGGGAAAGTGCTGGGGTAACTTCATTCCCTGGGCCATGACCACCTCCCTGTTGCTTCTAAAAGAAGTGATGCTTGCCCTTGCAACTCCTGCCTGCTGAAGTATGATTCAGAGCGTGCAAAAATCTATTCACGCTGGTATTAAGAAACAGTGAGAAACAGGAAAACAGTCTGAGTAGGGCCATCCTGGGACCAGGGGCCCCCATGCAGAGAAATCACAGTCACCTGGTTACCGAGACTCCCAGCTGACTAGGAGGCCAGCTTCAGTTCAGACAGGAGAGACCACAGGGGGTTCCAGCAGCATCTGAAACCTGGTTCAGATGCTGGGGTCAGCAACCTTGAGGTCCTGAGTGCTGACTAGGGACAGCTGAGAGAGCAGGTCCAAACTGGGTCAAGTTCAGACTTAACAGACTGCCCTTCGGCATGTGGCCTGAGGGCAAGCTTCTGGGCCAGACCAACCTCTGCGGGCATCCCACTTTGCAGCTACTCTGAAAGGCAGTGCTGCTTTCTGTCCCTGCTTCCCTGACACGGAAGTTCCTCAAATGAGTTGGCTCTGAGAATCTGTAGCAGGCGTAGCTTTAGTCTCTTATGTGGATCATGAAACACTGAGGCCGTTACCCAGAACCTCAGGCTGACCCCAGTGGTTCCAGAGAGCATGCTGCCTTCTTCTAAGGTGACGGAACAAGACAGGCAGAAGACTAGGCCTGGAGGGTGAGAGAAGGAGTCAGGAGACCCAGGCTGTAGTTCCAGTCCTGCCACTGCCTTGGTAGGTTACCTTAAGGAAATCACTTAAGCTTTTAGAGCCCAAGTAAGCCCACCTATAAGACGGGGACAAGTTAACACGTGCTTCCTCTTCTATAACAGAAATATGGGGAGGACAAATAACGTAGAGATTAAAATCCTCTGAAGCATTCATAAGGATATAAGTGTTTTTAGAATCTTAAGTCTTATTTGCCAGGAAAAGCATAAAATTATTCCAAGTCACTGGAGGCTGAGCAGCACTCACCTGATGATGGCGCTGGTGAGCAGAATCGTTGGTTGGCTCCTGTGGCCAAGATACCGTCTCCTGCTGCTTGGGGGGGAGTGAGCACCCGGGTGGCATTTGGGGGTGAGCCCAGTGGCCTTGAATCTGTCAACGGAGGTCCTATCTGTGATTGGACAGTCTTTCTTTGCAAAGTGCTGGTGTTCTCAATGCTGGCACAAGAGCTGGGAATGGAAGGGGGCAGGCTTGGGACAGAAACCAAACTCCTCTGGGGGCAAGAGCTGGGGCCAGTGGCATTCTCTGTCTTCACAATGATGCCGACGGTGTGATTCTGAAGCCCCCCAGCCGCTGGTGGCGTGAGGGGCCGAGGCCAGCCTTGCCGATGTGAAAGGCCAGGTAGGGGGGTGTTGGCGCCTGGAAGTCGCCGGGGGTCCGTGGAATCAGTGGGGCTGCTGTAGAGGTGGGGGCCATTGGCTTTCACCTCTGTGTTCACTGGCCCGTTGGTAGTCCCACAAGGGGCTTTCTTGGATTTTTCCACACAAGAACTGCAGCTGATGTCCTCTAGGGCTGGGGGCTGGTGGGGTGGAGAGCAGCTCAGGGAATTCTGGGTGCTAATCCCTGAGGGGCAGGACAAGGGGTAGTGGGAAGGTGTAGGTGCCTTGTCAGCGGTTTGCAGGGATGTGGTGATTGAGCTGTCAGTCACAATAACAGGCTTAATATCAGCCTTCTCTGTCTGTTCAGAGTCCCAATGCGAAGGCATCTGCTTAGCAGATAAATGTTTCAATATGCTGCACTGGAGCGCAACAACACTACAGAGCCACTGCAATGGAAGGAGAGGAGAGGAGAGGAGGGTGAGAGGCCCAGAAGGCGCCAGTCCATCCTGCCACAGTGGCCAGGGCTACAGCAGAGCTGACAAGCACTGTTTCAGAGGTCCCAATGTGAATGCCCAGAAAGGGTGTGCTTGACTTCTGATAGGACTCCATTTCCATTCCCAAGCAAGACTTGTTGGTACACTTGGCAGGCAACCCCTGGTCAGCAGAGCTTGGGATTCTTGTTTTGGCCCTGGCCCTAAGGCTCACCTTGTGACTAATATTCAGCAAGTACTCTAGCACCTGCTGTGTGTCCAGCACTATCAATTAACCCCTCTAGGGATCTACTCATCTTTCTACAATACAGATTTGCCTGGCTCACAGTGCATTGGGGGACCGACGGAGAGGAGCAGACCAGTCGACTCTGTAGTTCTCTTACTTGACTTTAGGATCTGAGCCAGAGGTTCTCTGTGGAATACTCAATGCTTATGGGGGAGAGGGAAGGGGTGCAGTGGGAATGACAGACACTGAGGCTACTTCCAATAACAGCTATGATGAGACGGAAAGAAGATTGAATTTAGAATCCCAGTTCTGCCTTCACTCACCTCTTGCTGTTCTGCCTGGGTGGCTAAGTGCTCAGAGTTCAAAAGGTGCATCTGTGATTCCTCAGGAATCCCATTGCAGATCAGTTCCCCGTCCCGAATGGCCGCAGGTGCAATGAGAGGGGGTGGAAACTGGTACTGAGATTTTATAGCATCGGGAACCTGTTCAGGATAGACAGAAGAAAGAAGGAAAGGGAGATAGTGCCAACACGTTCAGTTGATTCTGTCCTGGCGCACCATTCTAATTGTGGTGCTGACAACCATGGGATCATTTACTCTGGGTCCACTAAGGACAAAGAGGTTCAGTATGCTGCAACTGATCTGTTGTTCCCCCTGACTCTCACACATGCTTACTGGCTTAAAAAGGAAAAAGAAATGAAAATAGCAGGTAGGGCCTCCACTTTTCTTCATCAAGGTCAAAGGCCTGCAGAACTCAGAAACCACTGTATGCTGTCTTCTGCTTTGGCCTGAAAAGTGTAAGGCTGACAATGGACAGGGCTTCAGAGTGCTGCTCTAGGTTCTTACTGTTCAGGGTCAATTTTGGGAGGTAGGTGAGACATAAGTTAAATGAGGCCACATTCATGGTGGGAAAGCTCAGCATGAGGCCTGTCTAACTAAAGCACTCAATCAAGGTTAAATCACACAGTCTTGATTACTTGCAGATCATCATTCATGACTAATGATACAACTGAAGATATTTTTTCTCCCCTTAAGACTTGTTTGTTGCACAAAGACAGAAGACACTCTCTGACTCACACCATGTAAGCATGAAAAAGCCACAAAAGCAAAGACTCATTCATACATTCAAATAACATTTATTGAGCACCTCCTGAATTGGGCTCTGTTCAAGTACTAAAGGTCCAGAGGTGAATAAAACGTAAGCTTGCCCTCAAGGAGCTCACAGCCTAGTATGGAGAAAACCCAGAAATATTACAATACATGTAATTGATCCTAGAATAGAAGCATGTCAGAGTTGCTATCAAAAACAAACAAACAAAAAGGAGAGTGCTTTTTTTAGTTCAGGGGACAGGAGCTTGGGATTAAGGAAGATTTTATAGCAAGTATTTGAACCAAGACTTGGAAAGTTGAGAAAGAATTTCTAGGCAGATAAAGGGGAAATAAAGGTTGGAGCAACATGTATGGCACAGAGATGTGAAAGCACTTGGTGGATTTGGAAAACATCCAGAGAACCAACAGATTTGTTTACTAAAACCTTATGGAATATGGGAAAAACTGGAAATGGTTTCCAGAATTTTGGCCTCAGGGACTGGGTAGAGATCACTATCATTCACTGACACTGGAAATATAGAGGGAAAGCAGATTCTGAGAGACTAAGACTTTTGGTCTAGGGTAGGTTGAGACTGAGCTTATCTGTAGTATGGGCAGACAGAACTGTATGAGAAAAAAGGCAAAGAATAAGGAGGTAGGAGTCATCAGCTGGTACCTTGGGCTTTTTGAGATCAACATCAATTAGAGGAGGATGGAACAGTGGGCTAGTCTAAGGCTTCCTAGAGAAGAGTGAAATGGTAGGTGAAGGAGGAACTCCTAACATAGATATCAAGTTCTCAGCAGATTTTACCTATACTGTTACAACTAAGAGTAAAGGCCACTGTCCTATGTTGCTATAGTCCTCATTTCACTCTTAAACTGTCCTATTACAAAAGGTTTATCAGGTAACTCATGCCCTGTTGTTGATTTTCCTCGATAACAGGGAAACATTTAATAACATGGAGGGAGCCAGGTGTGGTGGCCACATGGCTTGGGAGGCTAAGGCAGGAGAATCACGAGTTCAAAGCCAGCCTCAGCAATAGCAAGGCGCTAAGCAACTCAGTGAGACCCTGTCTCTAAATAACATACAAAATAGGACTAGGGGTTTGAGGTTGTGGCTCAGTGGTAGAGTGCTCACCTAGCACGCGCGGGGCCCTGGGTCGATCCTCAGCACCACATAAAAATAAATAAACAAAGGTATTTGTCCATCTACAACTAAATATATATATATATATATATATATATATATATATATATATATATATATATATATATAAAAAAAAAAAAAAAAAACAGGGCTGGGAATTTGGCTCAGTGGTCGAGTGTCCCTGAGTTCAATTCCAGGTAACAAAAAAAAAAAAACAGTGGAGGAGGAACAAAACAATGATGGGACTTTATCAAGGCCTCCTGGGCGTTTACTTCAGTAGTCAGGCTTGCTTCTCTGTCTACACAGTAAATCACACAGTCTTGATTACTTGCAGATCCATTTAACTGAGGTCTGAGGCATACCACCACTGGAAACACTTTAGTTTTAGAAAACTTCGTGTTTCTATTGAAGGAGAAATATTTATCCAGTTTGTTCCACAATTCTCAACAGTTAGCACCTTGCTAGGACTAACACCCACAGGAGGTGATGGGTGTGGTGCGATTTGAGTTTAAAGTGTGGCTGCCATCAAGTGGCCACTTTTGAGAATTGCTGTTTTTTTGCTGGTATATAGGACTGTGAGTTTATCTCAAAAGAGAAAGATCCAGATGGCTCTTGGACAGAAGACATATAATGGGGACAGACAGGGTGACTTCAGGTGAGGAGAAATTGACATCCAAGCACAACTAGGTTTGGTGGCATGGGCTGAAGAGTGCTTATCTTTGGAGGACCAGAGACTTGCAGACTTTGAAAGCCTACTTGAGGCTTGGCCCTCAACATGCTCAAGTACTAAAACATAAGTTTAACATTCAATATTTGGGCTGGGGATATAGCTCAGTTGGTAGAGTGCTTGCCTTGCATGCACAGGCCCTGGGTTCAATCCCCAGCACCACAAACAAACAAACGTTTATTACTTGCTGAGATACCAAAGACAAATCTCTAGGTCTTCACGGTCTCCATGTTTGTAAAACTGGGAAAATGGCCCTCTCTATTTATCAAGCAAAGGCAATCAGGACACCATCATCCTGCCTGTACCAGATCCGTGACTCACCTTCAGGCTTCTTCTTTTGACTGACTGGAGCACACGGCGGTTAGGAGGGTGCTTCTTATGGATTCGGTTCAGGAAGTCCACTTTGACGACATGCTGCGAAACGGTGTCCTGGAAACGATCAAACACCTGGCACCGATTGCTCAGTGTCATATTCTTCTGGTTCAGCTAGAGACAAACCAGAAATACCCTTGTGGTGAATCTTGAAAGGTATCCCCACCTTCAGGTAGCCCCATTCTCTGAGATATTAAAAACAACAACAAAAAACCAGAATTTTTCAGCCAAATGGGATCCTTCAGTCAGGGACAAGATGCCAACACTCTTGCTAGAGAGTAAGGCAACATGGATGAGACTTTCCTCCTCAGCTGATATGTTCCTGTTTCCCAGTGAGGCTCAAAGAAAGGAAACAGAGAATTAGTCAAGAAGTATCCTTAAGAATTCAGCCTGACAGTCGTCAGTTCTAGTTCAGAGTACTCTGTCAGGGTATCCTCCCAGCAACACCAGGTTTCAGACCCCCAAGAGACCCAAACTCCCAACAGGAAGGGACTCACAGAGGAAGCAGGACTGTTCCTACAGAGGAGCTTGTCCAATAGTTGGATGAGGATCCTATATGCCCTGCCCCTTTCCTGCTCTAGGGTTCAAGGGAGCACCTCTGTGAACCCATCCTGATACGACAGTCTTCCTTCATGGAAGGGGGGAAACTTGGTCACCTCTTAAGAGGCTAACAGGAAAGAAGAAAGAAGAGTTTCTGCAATGCCTACTGAAGGTATGGAGAACCCACGCCACTCTCCTCTTCCTCATTTGGTTCCCTACGCTTAAGTTCAAAAGAAAGAATCTCCTTTGGAAGCTTCCTAATTGGCAAATTAGGCACAACCTTTAAGTGGCTAATAAAATTAGCTAATTAGTAATTTCTCATTCACTGGAAAGTTGCTCTTTAAGATCTGTATTTGGATAAACTGCTTATGGTCTTTTTTTTTTTTTCCTGGTTTGGCAGGAAGCAAAGAGTCACTCACAATGAGCCTTAGAGACACTTCCTTTTTTTTTTTTTTAAATATTTATTTTTTAGTTGTAGGTGGACACAATATCTTTATTTCATTTGTAAGTGGTGCTGAGGATCAAACCCAGTGCCTTATGCGTGCTAGACGAGTGATCTACCACTGAGCCACAACCCCAGCCTGAGACACTTCCTCTTAGATAAATCTAAGTGGCACAAATCAAAAGAATACAAAGTAACTCTTCCATATACAAAGAAGATCAAATGCAGGGCCTCACAAATGCTAGTTAGCACCTCACCACTAACTAACATTCCCAGGCTCCATGTATGGCAGTCTTTAATTATTTCATGACTAATGTCATTTGGTAGATGATGTTCTTTTTTGTTTCCAGTGCTGGGCATTGAACTCAGGGCTAGGCAAGTGCTCTACTATTGAGCTATATTCCTCATCCCAGATTTGACAATGTCCTTTTTTTTTTTCCTTCCCCTTTTTGGTACCAGGAAGTGAACCCAGGGGGTGCTTAACCACTGAGCCACATCCCAGCCCTTTTATATACATATATTTTTTGGTACCAGGGATTGAACTCAGGGGCACTCACTCGACCACTAAGACATATCCCTAGCCCTATTTTTTGTATTTTATTTAGAGACAGGGTCTCAGTTGAGTTGCTTAGTGCCTTGTCCTTGCTGAGGCTGGCTTTGAACTCATGATCCTCCTGTCTCAGCCTCCAGAGCCACTGGGATTATAGGTGTGTACCACCACGCCCAGCTTCTTTTATATTTTGAGACAGGGTCTTTCTAAGTTGCTTAGGCTGGCCTTGAACCTTCAGTCCTCTTGCCTTAGTTATTGGGATTACAGACTATGCCACAATGCTTTTAAGCAGCTACCTTTTTGGTTTGGAAAGGTTTCCTCCTGGAGCCCTCTCCCATTCCATCTTGTTATCTGTTCTAACTGCCTAGAAGGACAAATCCTTTTGGAGATAGCTAATGACAGCTGTGTTCTAGCCTTGGAAAGAAGTGTAGAAAATGTATCCAAGACTCCTGGTGATAACAACATTCATTCCTTTTTTTTTTTTTAGTTGTAGACAGACACAATACCTTTATTTTATTTATTTTTATGTGGTATTAAGGATCAAACCTGAAGCCTCACACATGCTAGGCAAGTGCTCTACCACTGAGCTATATCCCTAGCCCCACAACATTCATTATTTCAACTTACTGAACACCAATACATGTGGTTATAAAGAATTAAAGCAACAGAAGAAATGAACCTTATTTGGAGACTGCGACACATATATTCCAGATAGCCAACCATTTATTTCCTTATTATTGTGAACTCTGGAACAAAGCTGATCTTAATATGCTTTCTACTGAATCAGTCCACACCCCAGCTGTACCCATAGAGGATTGATTGGACACTGCTGTGCTTACCACCACATGTTCGATGTGATTCGGACACATCCATCTGCCCAGGGGCATGGCAGTGAGCGGTGGCTCGAGGCAGTCCATATGAAACAGGAGGGGGCAATAGTCACACTGGATGAGAGGGGCCACACGGCAGCTCCTGCCAAAAGAAAAAGAGATGTTGGCCACATCTGTATTAAGATGGGAAAATTCAGAATAATTCTGCACTGTGGAACAACCCCCTTTCCTTAATCCTAACAGCATTTTCCCACATCTTCCTACCCCAAATGATTCAGTTATACTTCTGATCAGAAAGGTGGCTGAATTTGGGGGCTACCACCAGGTTCTCCATTATTCTCTCTTCTGACAAGAATGTCTCTTGTGATGACTTGAATGTTTATTTGGAGTACAGCTAAAGTGGCTGCCAGAGCAAGAATGGTCAAAGGTCATACCCACTGGAGAAGACAGTGAACTCTGCTCTCTACTCCTTAAAAGAGAGAAAGTACTTTGTCTATTTCCCTATAGCTTTTGTTGTGAGATACTTCTTACTTTTGTTATTGATATAGAATACCTTTCCCCCCCTTCAGCATTGGGGATAAACCCCAGGAGCACTTTATCACTGAGCTATACTCCTGCGCCCCCCCCCGCCCCGCTTTAAAAATTTTTTTTGTAGTTGCAGATGGACAGAATGCCTTTATTTTGTATATTTTTATGTGGTGCTGAGGATCTAACCCAGTGCCTCACACATGCTAGGCAAGCTCTCTACTGCTAAGCTACAGCCCCAGCCCACTCCTGGCCCTTTTTTCAAAGAATTTTGAGACAAGGTCTCCTTAAGTCACCCAGTTTGGTGACTTATGATCCTCCTGCTCCAGCCTCTTGGGTACCTGGGATTAAAGGTGTGTGCCACCACATCCATTAAATACTACCTTCTTCTTCTTCTTTTTTTTTGGGGTGGGGTGGGGTGGGGTGGGGCTGAGGATTGAACTCAGGGACACTTGACCGCTGAGCCACATCCCCATCTCAATTTTTGTATTTTATTGAGAAATAGGGTCTCACTGAGTTGCTAAGTGCCTCATCATTGCTGAGGCTGGCTTTGAACTTGTGATCCTCCTGTCTCAGCCTCCTAAGCTGCTGGGATTACAGGCATGTACTACCATGCCCAAATTGTTTTTGATAGCTATTTTCTCCTGCTATCCTATCCTGACCATAATGTAGTCCTTCTAACATACCCTAGCCAACAAGTTCAGCTTCAGTAATTGAAGTAGCTGCTTTCTGTCACTGAGATCCTATTTGAAGAAATCCAGTGACCCAAGGAAGATATAACTGGGGTAGTACAGGGGCTATTTCTAAATAAATCATTCAGACCAAACTACCATATATACTTGTACTTTTTGTTTTTGGTACTGGGGATTGAACTACCATATATACTTGTACTTGGGGATTAAACTACCATATATACTTGTACTTTTTGTTTTTGGTACTGGGGATTGAACTCAGGGGCACTTGACCACTGAGCCACATCCCCACCCCTATTTTGTATTTTATTTAGAGACAAGGTCTGAGTTGCTTAGTGCCTCGCTTTTACTGAGGCTGGCTTTGAACCTGTGATCCTCCTGCCTCTACTCCTAAATTGCTGGGATTACAGGTGTGTACCACCATGCCCGGCATCTTTACTGATTTCAAAACACTTTGTCTTTTCCAGGAACATGATGCCTTACCGACCATAATTTTTCCTGTTCTCTAATCTAAATAATCTCATGCTTCAATTCAAGACCAATTTTTCTTGTTCTAGTCTCTAGCAACATAGTTAATAGTACTCCTGTACTATTATTCTTCAGGGAATTTATTAATACTTTCAAGGCTCTGGTCATTCAATCAGTCAATTTCTATGTATTCATACCATCAATAAATAAAGAGGTGATAGAAGAAAAAAAAAATGCACCATTTGCTGAATATATAAAGGAAGAGCCCTTTGGTATAGAAGAAAATACCTGTTACACGTGAAGCAGACTTTGACGGGTAAGGGAACAAGACCATTGTGATCTAACTCATGCTGTGTCTTCTTTACATTTTTCCCTGTGGTTTCCTCCTTTCTTCTCCTCTTGCTAGAACCTAGAAGAGAAATTGGTGATGCTGAACTGCCCAGACATGGATCTTTCTGAGGCCCCCAGAGCTGGTTTCGAGTGAGAAAATGAATAGGAAGAGAGGAAAAAGGAGACTCAGATATAAGTCAGAGACTGTTCATGAGGGAGCAACAGTCACCTGTTCTATAGCAGTAACACATCTGTTTTACAAACAGCAAGTGATCAGAAACCTGGGTTTGACACTGGCAACCTAAGAAATATAAATGCCCAAGTCAAATGGTCAACAAAGACTATTCTGTGAAGGTAGCTGAAGAAAAGACTACAAATTTACATTTTTATAGAAATCAGAAATGCCTTGATTCCATATGCATCTTTTAAAACTTTCCACCAATTTCTCTTTCTCTAGCAAGAAAAATATATCTAAAAGCTTCGTGGTATCAATGGTATCAAATAGAAACCAAGACTTGGTTAAAAAAAAAAAATAAAAGAGGGTAATTGGTAATAGACAGATATTACAAATTGGTAATTTAGTAATATCTATCAGAGCTATCAATGCATACTGACCCAGCAATTCTAATAGGAATTTAACCTACATATAATACCCACATATCTATTACATGTAGTACACAATGATGTAATTACAAAGTTATTTGTTGAAGCACTATCTTGGTAACAGAAGATTAGGAACAACCTAAATGTCAGTTAATAGGAAACTGGCTAAATTGTGGCACATCTGTACAATGGACCATTATGCAAGCACAAAAAAAAAAAAAAATTGAGGAACTTCTATATTAATATATTAATACCTCTGGAATATTTTGTGAAGTGAAAAAAAGCAAGGTGCAGAACAGTATATCTAGTATGTTATTTAAAGAAAAAATACACACACGTATCTGTATTTGCTTATACACGCACAAAGAAATTCTAGGATACACAAGAATCAACCAGTGGTTTCCTGTGAAGGGTAGGAAGGTGGATAACAGGCGTGGAAGGGAAATTTTTCATTGTAAGTGTTCATATTTTATATATATTTTTTGGTGTGTGTGTGGTCTTGGGGATTGAACCCAGGCGTACATTACCAACAAACTACATACCCAGTCCTTTTACTTTTCTAAGACAGGGTCTTGCTAAGTTGCTGAGGGTCTCACTAAGTTGCTGAGGCTGGCCTTGAACCTGAGATCCTCCTGCCTCTTGAGTCGCTTGGATTACAGGAGTGTGCCACCAGGCCCAGCTTATATTTTTAATTTTGCACCACATGAAAGTAGCATCAATTTGGAAAAAAAAATAGAAGATACTGAGAAGGGGCAGGAAAGGAGTTTGGAGACTCAAAAAAATGGAATATTGAATAAGCACTGTACTAGCTAAAAACCTTCAAAGATCTCTCCAGGCATAACAAGGAATAGGAATGTGAGACAGTGGCTACACAGGCAACACTGCTCTTTGATGGATGATAATCCTTTGGGGAAGCTGGGGTAGGGGAGGAGATATGATGATGGCGTGGCTAACCTGGTAGTGCAGTGGTACAAGTCAGTTCATTGGGCAACTGAAATTGGGTGGGGTTCCGCTCCATGGCGGCAGCAATAAGCAGCTCAAAAGGCCGCCTCAGCTGGGGCTGCACATAGTCCGGCTCTGCTGCTACTGGCTCCTCGTCCACATCAATGATGTCCTCATCAACGTCGTTCTGCTCAGAGGTGGGAGTCTCTGTGCTGGCGCTGGATGTGGGGGTGCCAGGCCGGCTGGCTCTCCTTTCCAGAATCCGGGCATGGGCAATGGCCTTGAGTTCAGTTTTGCTAGCTGATCTGTCCAACAAGTCAGTGTCACTGCTGGGTGATGTAGTCCGTTTGCCAGTTTTGTCCACCAGTCCATTGACATGGCCCAGCTCCTTTTTCTGCTCTCGTTTCTGTGCAAATGAATAGGTGGGCCCATCATGAAAAGTACCACAAAATAGAAAGAGATGCGTGTACAATGTCCTGCTAGATCATTAATGAAAATCACAAAGTCCCTTACATATCACAGAATCATTCACCTTGGGACTTGGTCTGTTAAAGTTGACACACTAAATTGAACTAAACTAAAGCTGAGAAAACTATTGCAGTGGGGAAATCACCAAAAAGTATTGGAAAATTAGAAACAATTACACAAATTACACATCATTAACTATAACTCATCATGATACATATCATGTGTATACAAAGTACAGGTTCAAAAGGCTAAAAAATTAACACAAACAGTGAAAATCAACAAGAGCATTGTAGTCTGCTTTGGAGCATCCTGACTTTCTGATGACTTTTAAAACTTTGCTAAAATAGAGAAAATGTTCCAAAGCAAAGGTAAAACAGGCCAGTAGAGTTCCCCTTTCAGGGAGGCTGGGTGCTGGCACATAAGATAATTAACTACAAGGCAGAGCTGATAGCGTGTGGAGGTCAATCATGGTGTCCAAGAAAGATGGCTTCCAGTGTTTCAACTTTAACTAGAACTCTGAAAGTGACACTTCTTAGAAGATGGAGAAATGGAAAAAGCTTAAGTGTACTCAGTAGGACTGGATGACTGATAATACATTTTCCTCTAGGATTCCAAATAGACTGGCCAAGGGAAGGTTTAACACTGGTCTCCGGTCAGAAGATCTGGGATCTTGTCCCAGTTCTGCCACCGATTCCCTCTGACCTTGGGTGACTCAGGCTGGTGGGCAGAAATTTCTCTACCTACAAAGCGAGATGAGTAAAACTTTATTCTCTTTTTCTGGGAAAAATGGTAGAGACAAAGAAGGTCACATATTTGAAAGGGATGACTCTGAGCTGGGGAAAGACCTAGCTTCCACTAGGAATCATGATAGGACCTAAACATCAGAGGCCCAGAGGATATTTCATTTTAATCGACTTCATTATAAATACAGGAGCCCCAAACAGAGTGATGATGGTGAAAAAGGCAGATTTGTACCAGTAAACAAAGAGGTCCATGTGAAAGCAGGTCGGAGTGGCAACTAGGAGAAGCACCCTATTTTGAAAAAAGCTTACTATAATTCCCAGCAAGTAGCCCTGCTTCTAAAAAAAAAGAAAAAAAAAAAAAACTGATAAAAGACACAACAACAGAGCTTTAAAATGAGATAGAATTTGGTTCAAATATTGGCTCTGTCAATTCCTTTGAGTCCATGGGAAAAGTTCTTCTACATTTCTCAGTCTCAGTTTCTTCCTTTCTAAAATAGAGATCTACTACTAGCATCCTTAGATGGCTGCACAGATTAAATGAAATAAAAGTAAATAGCAAAACACCTAGCATATGATAGGTACCGATATAATGTTAGTTCCTTTTCTCAATCCTCATTTTCTGGCTTTACCTCTTCTGTTTCGTTCCTCCCAACCCTTTCAGGTCCAGCTTCTTTGCATGGCAAGTTCCTGAAAGGCCTTCTGGCTGGCAGGTATCTCCAACTGGCCTAGTTCTAATCTAATTGAGGATGCACAGGAAAGGATGTTGGAAGCAGCCTGGTTTATGGACTTTAACAATTAAACTATAGCTGTGGTTAGATGACTGACTTGGCTTGGGCTTCCTTTTTAATAGGAACTCTTGTGCACACACTGAAAAAAGATCAGCCTGTTTATCTTCTTTTTAAAGGCCCCAAACTGTTACAGATATAAACCACAATCTGTGAATCATCTCCTCATCCTGTTTCTGCAATCAAGGAAGTCATTCTCCATTGTGACATCATATTCAGGGGCCAGGAAAAGGTGGTGATGTCACAACAAAGGAAAATTGCTGGGTGTATAATTAGTGTGCAGGAGGGCAAGGGTTGGCTAACAACTTACAAATTCTAATCCACAGCCTGTAATCTGAAGATTGGGTCAGTAATAATCTGAGTGGAAACGCTTCTACTTCCTTTTTTGACAAGTGAGAATTTAACTCTTATACCTAACAAAAATTCTCAAAGCAGGAAATAATGAACCATGTTCCTAAAGCCAGTACTGAATTATCAAAGCCAAGGGAAGGGTAGGTGAAGAGAAAAATGGGTTCAAAATCCCCAATACACCTGGCCAAGTCTCTGGAAACCAGTGACTTATTTGCCTTAGGTAAGAAGAAAAACCCCTTTTCCATCAAACTGGAGAAGTGACCTTTCCTCTGCTGTTTCCCAGCTATGGCTGCCACATTCAGGCCATTTACAGGAGGTCGGTAAGATCAGACTACTCCTGTCACCAGTAACTAAATGTAGCTCAGTAAATTAACACACTTCTGCCCATTTTAGCAACCATGTTTGGATTTTTAGGCCCTACTAGATTCCAAACAGTCACCATGGGGTGAGTAGGGTGATTTCAGGACTGAGAAGAAACACGAAGGGATGAAAATGCCTTCAGGGTCAGGCAATCTTAGCTCCAGAGTATCAGTGCTCTAGATCTGGCATTGTGAGCAAAGCCTTCAGGAAGCAGCATTATTACCTTTCGGCGAACAGTGCACCGGTGACACATCCACTCCCCGGGAGGCAACATCTCTTCACTCAGTGGAGGGTTACTGTGAGGAAAAGACAAGGGCAAGACTAAGTAACTAACCCTTTGATGCAGCAGGAAAAAGCCTAGGTAGGCCTGCCACAAGCTGCATGTTCCTAAACTCCTATTTTGGCCCGTCCTTCAGAACTGAGATCTCTTATCCTTCAAAATGCTTACTCAGCATCATTTATAATCAGTTGATCAATGAATATTCCTTCTCAACCTTAAAGAAGCCAAATCCAGCTCTATTAACACTGAACTTGTGGGAAAAGAAATAAAGAACTAGTTTGGAGCCTGAAGAATCATTCTCAAACTCTGCACAATGCCAATAAAATCACCAAGAGGTCTTCCACAGTTTTTAAAGTCTTTCAGTCTAAGCCTAAGCTCTTCCACTTGCTGTTCAAAGTCCCCTGCCATATAGCCCCATTCCATCTTCCTTGGCCAACATCAGCTACCCTCCCTCCTGATTAAACTGAAAACTTGCTATTTCTTCCTTTGGAATACCCTTCCTTTAGGAAAGCTATGCCTGTCAAAACTCTCTCTCTCTCTCTCTTTTTTTTGCCATCCTTTAAGGCCTGCCTCAATCAACCTGTGGTGGATTCAAAATGGCTGCAAATTTTTGTTGCGCCTCCCATTCAGAGGTAGTTCATTTCCCATCTGTACAATTGGGCTTGTTTTGTGATTTGCTTTGATCAACAGAATGCAGCAGAGATGACGTGGTATAACTTCCAAGCCTGAGCTTTATAAGATCTGCAGATTCCACTTTTATGTGCTTGGAATGTTCCATCTCAGAGCCCTGCTGTCATGCTGGGAGAAGCCACAAGGAGGATACTTGAGGTGCTCCAATGAACAGCTTCAGGTGAACTCCAAGTCAACAGGCAGTACCAGATACTGCTATGTGAATGTGTCATCTTGGACATACCAGCTCAATCTGTCCTCCAAACAACTGCAGTGTCTGCCAGCAACACGTGGAACAGAAAACCATCCAGCTGATCCCAGTCAACCTTCAGAATTGTGAAAGATAATAGCTAGTTTCTGTTTCAAGCCACTGAGTTTTGGGGTAGTTTGTTATGCAGTAATAGATAACCAGACACGGTTCTCTCTCCATGAGCTCTTTCCAGATTATATATGTAACTTGTATCTCTTTCTGCATGGTTTAGTTGTCATTTTTTGGCACTTGTATTTTGCTTTGTGTCATAGTTCTCTTATTTATTTTTTGCTGCCTTATTTTTTTGGTTTCCATACCAACCTTTCCCCAATGCCAAGGATTGAACCCCAGGGCCTTTTGCCTGTTAGGTAAGTGCTCTGTCACTGAGCTAAATCCCCAAACCCTCTTAATTTATTTATTACTATTTTTTCAACTACAGAGACCAAGACAATGATTGCATCTCCTCCCTCTTTGTATTTCTGTAATAAGGAGGTTGTATATGCAGGAGATACAAAGTCAAGACTGAATCAAAATGAGCTGTGTAGGGCTGGGCCTCACAGATCCTCGAGGTCACTGATTTCCATTAAGGTACACCAAAAGCCACGAGACTATTAAATCCTTGAGAGTCACATTTCTACTGCTTATAACAGTGGTTCTCTCTCTCTCTTTTTCTGGAGGACTGAGCACTGAGGTGCAGCCTCAGATCCCCTCTGTTTTGATACTGGGGATTGAATCCAGGGGCTCTTTACCACCAATATGTAATTTTTATTTTGAGAAAGAGTCTCGCTAAATTGCCAAGGCTGGTCTTGAACTTTTGATCTTCCTGCCTCAAGCCTCCCAAGTCACTGAGATTATAGGCATGCACCACTGTGCCTAGCCAACAACAGTGGTTCTCAAAGTATGGTTCCCGTTCAGCAGCAACACAGCATCCAGGAATTTATTAGGAATGCAAATTCTGACGCCATTTCAGATCTACTGAATCAAAATTTCTAGGATGGGGCTTAGCCATTGATGTTTAACAAGACCTCAAAGTGATTCTGTTGAACATCAAAGCCTAAAAACCACTCTGCACAGAATAAGGTTACATTTATGCTTGTTTAAGAAATTTCTTCCTTTTACTCTTGGAGTCACCTTCTTAGAATGGTAGGAAAATTTTTCTTCAAAGAATGTAACAAATAGTAAAAACAACAAATCCCCCAATTCACGTAATTTTAAAAAAACTTTTTATTTTTTATTTTTTAAGTGGACACAATATATTTATTTTACATTTATGTGGTGGTGAGGATTGAACTCAGTGCCTCAAGCATGCTAGGCGAGCACTCTACCACTGAGCCACAACCCCAGCCCAATTCATGTAGTTTTACAATGCTAAAGGACTCAGCTTTAAATCCTAGGGCTTTTTTACGGTTTCTACTTAAAACAGCACTTTGGCCTGGCAAATTTCCCTAGCTCTTGCCATGTTTCCCTAGAGCCCTAAGCATAAATGCAGATGCTCACCAAACCTTCACAGTTCATTGCTTCCCTTCCTCCCTGTTTCCTTAATAGAATCCCAGGAGGATGCTTACCAGGAAGCAGAAAACTGGAGACATAGTGGTCTGTTGGGACAGGTCTTCAAGCCCTAGAAACCACAGGTGAATGTCACATAAAGTCTTCCCTGGTTCTCTTCAATGTATTTCTACAATACGCCATATCCAAACTAATGAAATGCATGCATGTCATTTGCAAAGGCCTACAGACTCTGCTATGCTTCAGCAGCTGTCATATTAAAATTAACCCTGAAGGCTGTCACTTCTGATTCTGTTTTTCATCATTTCTTTTCATCTTCCCGCTGGCATTGTACCAAGATATCCTACATCAAATATGGAAAGCACAGAAGGGCAAGACAAAGTGATCTGGGCTTAGATCTTTCACCAAGATGTGAATGGTCTCCCAGCTACCCTTCATGCTTCCCTCAATTTCTTCCCAACCTTGCTGACAGAATGATTTATCTAAAACACAATTCAGATCACATCACTCCCCTGATGAAAAAACCCTTCAAAGGCACCCTTCCATCCATTGCAAAATAAAGTTCAAGCTCCTTAGTATTGTGGATTCTGTCTCTTCTGCAGCTCCATCAGTCAGCTGGATCCCTAAACACTGCCCATGCTGTTTCTCACCTCTGTCTCAGCTCATTTCAGTGCCATGGCCCACAATCACACAGACCTTCCTCTTAATTCCACATTTAAACATTGTCTTTTGTGTGTGTGTGTGTGTTGCAAAAAGAATCCTGGGCATCATTCATGCTAGGGAAGTGCTCTATCACTGAACTATATCTCCAGTCTTCCAATCCCAAACATTTTTAATTTGGGGGCTGGGGCTCAAATCTAGAGAGCTCACTTAGCATGTGTGAGACCCTGGGTTTGACCCTCAGCACCACATAAAAATAAAGAAATAAAATAAAGGTATTGTGTCCAACTACAACTAAAAAATTAAATATTTAAAAACATTTTTTTTAAAAAAAATTTAAATTGTTTCTTTTGTTGCAATGCTGGGGAATCAAGCCTTGGAACTTCTGCAAGCCAGGCAAGTGCTGTAACACTAAACTATATTCCTAGCCTCCCACCTTTTAAGTACTAAGGATTGAACCCAGGAGTGCTTAACTACTGAGCCACATCCCCAGACTTTTGAGAGAATTTTTTTTTTTTTAATATTTATTTTTTAGTTCTTGGCGGACACAACATCTTTGTTTGTATGTGGTGCTGAGGATCGAACCCGGGCCGCAGGCATGCCAGGCGAGCGCGCTACCACTTGAGCCACATCCCCAGACTTTTAAAAATATTTTATTTAGAGTCAGGGTCTTGCTGAGTTGCCGAGTGTCCTGTAAAATTGCTGAGGCTGGCTTTGAACTTGCGATCCTCCCACCTGTCTCTTGAGCTGAGATTACAGGCGTGGGCTACTGTGCCTAGCTCATTTTTGATACTCTCTCCTTCTCAACATAGGGGTTTAATGCTTAAAATTTTTCTTTAAAGTAGCTCTTTGTAGGTTTTTAAAGTATCAGTTTTAGAGATACTAGGTTTAAGAACACACATTTCCCAGAATTTTCTACACTATGGCCACAGGCTTCTTTTGTTAGATTGCCTTAAAGTAAGGGACAGGAGCTATGAGTTTAAGGAGTGGTCCAAGGAAGTCCAGGTGTTGTCTCCAGGATAAGCACAGAACATCTAGAAGAGTGAGGCCATCATTTCATTACTTGCTTAGATTTGCTGCTTTCTTAGATTCAGAGTAGCCTTTTGAAACAACAAATTTGATAGCCAGGTGCATGCCTATAATCTTAGCAACTCAGGAGGCTGAGGCAAGAGTATCCCAAGTTTGAGGTCAGGCTGGGCAACTCAGGAAGACCCTGTCTCAAATAAAATAAAAAAAAGAATGAGAAGAAAAAAATACAAAACTGAAAAGGGGGTACCTTGAGAGAAGGCAGTGATATCTAAGAGGATGGACAGGGAAGGAAGGTCTATATTTCTAGGAAATTATCATATGCACAGCTGGAACATAGGCACTGTCACCATAAACCTTTCTTATAATTGTATTTTCTCTCTATTCTAAGCAATTCCTTTTAAGCTTTTTAGAAGGCAGCTTTCAAATCAAATTTCTAGAGGAAAAGAATTTATGAAACGGCTCCAGAAAAGATAGACTGCCTCTGGGAGAGCTCAGGAACCAGTTCCAAAAGAGGTTATTTGCTCCCTATCAGGAAATTTCCAGGGAGAAAGGTGATTGATTCTGCATCCTTGTGGTATCCATGAAGTCGGTTTTAAGGACTTTCCCACCTCAGCTGTCCATCTGGTAATGCTGAGCTTCTTTTACCACTTTCAGCTGCTCACCAGTAAAATCCATGAAAACTCTATGGTGAGACAATGCTGCCTATAAAGATACCAATATGCTTCCTTATCACTAAAGCCTAGAAATAGCAGAATGAGAACTTCATCTACTATATTACAGTTCACAAGTAGTTCAACAGATGCTGTTATTTGATCCTAACTACCATATTAGGAGATAATTAATTCTAATTCTCATCATACAGGTGAGAAGACTGACTTATTTAAACTCATGGAGCCAGTTAA